AAAGAAAATGGAACCTACTATATTATATAGGGGTTATATAGGGGTTAAGGGGGGCGAACTTCATAGGGAGTAACACATCCATGCATGTGATGACAGGCCCCCACACTTCGCAGCCTCCGCTTGGAGGCCAGCAGCCCAGTCATCAGAGGTAAGCAGGATGTTCACTACCTAACACCGCTGTCAAAGTCAGATACTGTCAGGCTTCCAAACAGCATGGGAACTCCAAACTGGTCAGGATGTTTGATAACCTAGGGCTAGAACGCAAAAGCTTCAACTCAAGAACGGCGTTCCTGCCAGCTCTAGAACTACACGTGCACAGGCTTTGCTCTGATCCTAGGGTCAGCAACTTGCTAGGATTTAGGGTTTAGGGTTTAGGGAGCCTTACAAAATTGTTCCAGTCCAAACGGCAAGCTTTAAAAAGATTACAATGACGGGCCTGTGCAAAACATCTCGGTGAATGTCAACTGCCGACTCCAAAGTCTCCAAAATGATGATGTTACTATGACACTTAGAACTCCTATTACTGTTACTATTACTAGTACTATTACTCTTACTATGACCAATGAACAACGATCTCCGGTGATCTCTGGAGCTGGACTTGGAGGACTGCTGAAAGTATTGGGTTTAGGGTTTAGAATAGTTGTTTTCCCATTTTCTTTTCCGTTATACCTATGTAACCCCGATGTAATATAGGGAGTATGGTGATCCCTCTTCAACATCTGCAGTCTGCAGATGGTCGTTCTGTTCAACCTCATCACCTCATCCCGAACACTAAGAACCTGCACCCTGCAGGGGTTGCATACGGGTTGTATAGGGAGAATTGAAAAGAGAATGGAAATCATTTTCAATGGTTTCATAGCACTCACATCACATGTCCTCAGATGAAACTGTCTACACAAAAAAACATCCCCAAGTACAAATTCGAGGGCTAAGGCACACTTTGTCGTTAGTTGGAAATGTGAAGTTCAAAGAGCACATGAGCCATAGTCTAAACTCCTAGCATCTTCCTGAACATCCCCTATAGAAGTCCCCTATAGAATCCCCCATATAACCCCCTTTTATGGAGTTTAAACTACAGCTGGACGCTTGGCTCAGCCGACGCCTTGGCCTTTTCTACGTCTGGCTTCTCGCATGATGTCACCCGCCATATTATAAAGAGGCTATATGTTATATGGGGATTATACAGGCCTTCTATATTGGTTACATGAGCTATAGTCTGAATTCCTAGCACCCCCCTTCAGAACCCCTATTATACTTCCCTATATAGTATAATCCCCAATATGCCCCCTTTAACGATTTTAGACTATAGCTCATAGAGAGATAATGGAAAAGAACTGCAGGACCCTAAGCCCTAAACCCTCATCCCTAAATCGGAAACCCCCGTCCACAAACCCTAAACCTCTCTCCCTAAAGCCCAAACCCTGCACCCTCAACCCTACACGCAAAACCGCCTCTGCAACTTGTAGTATGTGGTCTGGTCTCTGCACGATGAAATCGATCAGGAACCCCAGCACCGGTCCTGTGCAACAAAGTAATAGTAACAGTCATACTAACAGGAATAGTAATAATACAAGTAATAGCAATGAGTAGTTGTAGTAATAGCAATAGTAATAATAGCAACAGTACGAGTAAGAGTCATAGTAATAGTATGAGCAGTACTTGAGCCTCCTTTCGGGTTTAGGGATTAGGGATTAGGGTTTAGGCTTTAGGGTTTAGGGATTAGGGTTTAGGCTTTTGGGTTTAGGGATTAGGGCTTAGGCTTTTGGTTTAGGGATTAGGGTTTAGGCTTTTGCGTTTAGGGATCAGGGTTTAGGCTTTTGGGTTTAGGGATTAGGGTTTAGGCTTTTGGGTTTAGGGATTAGGGTTTACGATTTTAGGATTTTACAGTAACAGTACTAGTAATAGTACACCAAAGGATGATGTGTCACCCATGTCAGCGCTGCCACTAGCTTCAGTACCAAAACAACTGCCGGCCGTCCCCATGTAATACAAGGATGATGACAAAGAAAATGGAAACGACAGGGGCTTTATATGGATAATGGAAAAGAAAATGGGAACTACTACAGATGGGGAATCTCAGGCACATAAATTACCTAAATAAATCAACGCAGTTGCCATTTCATTTTCCAAATTGCTTCTCCAGTTGATTCTCCATTATTGGTATGTAGTATAGATCCCAGAAATCTTCGGCACAGGCCTGCATATTCAGCGGCTCTGTCCACTGCCCCAGGAGAACGCAAGGATTTCAAGCACCCCTTCCTGAGTTGTCGCAAGTGCACCCACTTACTGGGGGTTAATTAGTAGGGAACATGGGACTAGATTACATTATATAGGGATTACATATGGATTCTATTCCCTCATTCCCTACTTAGCACCAGCTAGCCCACAGAGGCATGGCGCAAATTCTGAGCTTGCGTGACTGTGCATGACATCCATGCGAACATTCTGTAAAGCATAAATTGCGTAGTTCCCCCTAAACCCTAAACCCTAGGTACCACAATGGATAATAGGAGTGTTAATAGCCCCTGAATAAAAAAACCTTTAAGGACAGTTACTGGGAGGGGGAACGACCCAAAGAACAATATCAAGGCGACTCTCGCCTTGCCATTATGGGAAATATTAAGGTTGTATTAAGGCAATATTGGGTTTATATTGGGGTTATATTAGGGTTATATTGGGGTTATACTGTGGTTATTATTAACCCAATAGTGGAGAATTACATGGAAAGAAGATGGACAACAACATGAAAACTGCGATCATACCACGGTTATACTGGGCTTTATGTCCACTGCATCACGTTTTAGGGCCAGGTACCTGAAAGATGTCTGGAATGCTGCAACCTGAAGTTGATCCCTGTTCTGTAATCCCCATAGACCTATACCCAAAAATATGGTAGTTTCCCAAAATAAGGGGACCCCAATATAGACCCCAAAATACTACAGTCCTTATTATGGGGACCCCCAAAATAGTACCCCTAATTTTGGGAAATTCCCATATATGTTCTCAATTGCTGAGGCTTATACATACTATTACTAGACAAGCAATTAAACATAATTCCTAAGGAGACTACAATGACTGGTGGCCCAAGAATTCCTGTCTATCCCGCGTTGGAAGCGTTTCACACAGCTGATGCCGGCTACCCACGGACACAGATCCACCTTTTCTGCAGCAGGCTTCTTGAGCAGGACCAGCACCGCCCCAAGATCACAGTTGTGGGGGCTGATTTCAGCAGCTTGTGCAGCGCTTTGATGCAGCAACCTCAGGGGCCAGACTTGGTCAAACAATCACAGGAAGCACATTTGAAGAAGCCGCAAGCACAATCTGCATGCCGAGGCCACACTGCATTGACTGCTTCCATTAGCGCAGCATCTGCAGAGGCGTGATGACCTTCTCGGCCACGCGTAGGCACCAAACCTTGGAGGACAAGAACACATAAGTTGCCTTCCTAATTGCATGTTGCGGACGGCGTGCATCGTGCGTGTGCCCAACTCCCGCTCCACATATCACACGAGAGCATGTGCCAGCTAATTAAATGGCTCTGCAAGATTTGCAACCTGCTCAGGGAAATCGAAGTGATTACCTAATAGTTTCTCAAAGGGCCCAACAATACCATGGTCACCTAGCATTGGGACCCCCACAATAGTATATCTTGGTAGCCCAGTAACCATATTACAATAAGGGTACCCTTTTTTCTGTTGGCATATTATATATGGGAACCCAGAACCCAGAAGGGTAAAAGGGTACCACTGGGGTTCCTAGATATACCCCATAACTTTTGGGAAGCCCCCACATTGATTGCAGACCAAGCATCAGGAAGCGGACACGGTCCAGCCAAGCTGCCCCTGAGCAACCATCTTACTCGTTCTACTACCACGAGGAATGATACATCATAATAACAATAATAGTAACAATAATAGGGTTTAGGGTTTAGGGTTAATAACAATATAGGGTTTAGGGTTATATTAATAATGATAATGATCGCCGTGACTGTTGTCACTACAATTACTAACCCAGACCCCCAAAGGCATCTAAAGAATCAAACTCCTAGAAAACAATGGGGCATTACATAGGGGTTGTTATTATGGCTGTATAAAAAGGGGATCTAGTTGTAAGATCCTCGCAGGAGTCTGTGAAGGACTCGTACTGCTATGATTAGTCTTTCTACTCTTGTAATTTATCCTCCCAATTGTTCGAGCACTTTAAAGGCAAAGCCCTAAACCCTAAAGCCAAGGCTCCAAAGAAGAAGAATCGTCTGGCTGTAGTTCATCACCGGGACCCTCCATACGGCCAACTTACTGGGCCAGAGATGAAGGGCGGCGCTACAGCATTATAGTCCCCCCTAAGTAGATAGGGTTTAGGGTTAAGGTTTAGGGTTTAGGGCTTATATGGTCTGGATTGCTGTTACGGAGCTTGATTTCAGTTACTATACTGGGGGGACCATAATAATTTAATTCGAGTTCCTTGATTAACAGCAACCCAGTAGTATGAATAGGGAAGCTGTTCTGGATCTAGCAGCCTGCAAAATACTTTACATCAGCTCTTTGATGATGACCTGTGACTGATGATGGTAGGGGCTTGTGCTGCAGCTCGCCGACCGTGGCGGCTATCGTCGCCCTGCGGGCCGTAATAACTTCGCACAAATGCATTCACAGCTGTCGAGGCCTGGCGTTCTGAGGCAGCACCCACAAACAAGCAAGACTTTACGTTCGCTGATGCAGTTCCGAGCATACTAACGCTCTACCCTGTCCTCGAACCTACAACAACCAATACACCAAGTCTTCTAATTTGGTGCCTTGCTGCCCTGGCAGATACTCCAACCGGGCAACGATCACGTTGCCAGGAAGAAGCTGGGCAGCAATTGCTGGAAAATGTGTCGATAAACTTTCAAAAACTTCGTGCACAGGCTGTACACTGTGATTAGGGACCAAGGCCCTCTACAGGGTTGAAAGTTGGATCCTAAATCTAAATGCAGGAGCCGACCGACGCCGAAATGTACCGTCTCAGTGCCAGTAAGTCCACTCATTCTCCTCTTGGTAAGGTAGGCCATCAGTGGGCACGGACACTGCCAAATCGCGAGGCACCCAATCCTTGCCCATTGAGGGCAACAAGGCTCCAATGATGTGCTTCCTTGGCCAAACTTGTTCATGACATGGCAGTTTCCTGAAATAGGGCCCCGAGAAAGACACCCCAAAATTGTCTACAATCGGTATGATGGAGACCTCTAAAAGGTACCCTTCATTTTGGGAAACTCCTACATAAAGCTCTAGACTCTAGACTTGCCCTGTTATTGCTGCAAAAGCACTGCCACGTCCAGTGATCCACTTTTGTCTGGGCGCTCCCCAGTCGATCCAGCATGGCTCTGTGGCGATCAACGCCCACAGGGCTTGCACGCCAAATCGTGAACTCATTTATAGGGTTGAACTCCACAAACCTCAGCTTCTATGAAGCCTTGTACTACACTACCTCTACTACCCCCTTCCCAAAAAGAAGGCTTGCATAGGTTTTTCCGTGGGTGTTGCATAAAGCTTCATATGTTTAAGACATGAGGTCCCTTTAAACCCACTTCTGCCCTACGGCATTGAATTGATCGGCTTACTGCCAAGGAGCACTGCACGCATTTCCAAACCATCGCACGAGTGCACAGCAGCCCGGCTAGCACTCACTAGTTGGTTCACAGACGAGAAGCCTCGGGGCAGCACGAGAAACTGTTCAGCGTCACGCTAAGCCGCTAGCTGCCCTGCCTGGATAGATGTGAATGTGTGGTACCAGGCAGCGCCAGGAGGCATGCAGTTTCTGCAGCGAACTGGTCACCTGCCATGTTTCTGGCGCCATACGTTACTTGTAGCAGCAATTCTTGAGAGCCCAGAAATCACAACTGGAGAAAGCACCTGTATGCAGAGGCGCCAGAGTGTCAGCTGGCACGTCTCTCGATTCCTTCCATGCTTTTGGCTCATGCGCTGGGCGTGGGCTTTCAAATTTCCGACACGTGTGCTCTCATCTGGATACTCCCGCTCCTAGCAATCACAAGCATGTCCGCGGCATCAGCATCGCAGACATCGATGATTTGGCAGCGCAGACCTGCCACAGCAGCGTTTGCAGGTGCTGTAAATGCTCCTGGTCTTTTTGCTCGAATGGGAGGAGGCAGAAAGAAATGCCTTTAGATGCAAGGAGGACGCGAGGGGTGGTCACAAAGCAGGACACAGAGTGGCATCTAATAAACCCACCTGGCGGCCCCACGCCAGCTGCAACTTGGTCAGAACGGGCAACGTGATGAGGATCCCGATTACCATCTGCTCGTGTCCAGGACACGCCACCATCCTGCATCTGCAACATGCCAGTTGAAATGGTGTCGAACATTGAACCTGCAGTCCACGCTGCTGGCCTGGGAAATCCACACTCTGGTGGACATCGTCACTGCCACGAGGGCATCATTGCAGTATCGCACAATGGATACCTTGGGTTGCAACCAGGCTAGCGCATCTGCAGAACATGGCTCCGGCAACATGCACATGCCAGGCCATGAGAAGCTAGCTTGCTGTCCATGGTGCTTGCTCCAATGGCCAGCCAAAGGGCAACTTATCAACTAGTCTCTGCCAGGACCGGCCCCAATCACTGCTGCGCCACAGCGCACCCAGGGAGTCAAACACCAGGAGAGAGCCTGCGAAACGGCTCAGAGGCAGCAACTGCAAGGCTTGCAATGATGCATCCGAAAGCCTTCGCCAGTGCCATCTGGAACCTAAGCATTGATTTGCTGAGCAGTGCTTGTCGAGCTTATTAGGCACAGGCCAACACGCGCTGAACATGCATTGGGCAGTTTGAACAAATATCAAGAATTCCTCCTCACTACTGGTTTATGTGCTGCCCCTGGCACCCACATCGCATAGGCCGCATCTGGCCATGCAGCTTCATGTGTTGTCTGGCTCCACGACACCGGTCGAAACCTGCCATGAGTTCAATATGCTCTGATTGCGTAGCACGGTTACACCCTGCCAACCAACCAACCAACCAACCAACCAACCAACCAACCAAATTACCTACCCAAAAAACCAACAAGCCAGCAAGCAAACCAGCAACCTAAAGCCTAAGGATCTCATCCCCATCCAATTTGTACCTGCCTACCACCAACAAGCCAGCAAACACACTAACCTAACGATCTCATCCCCCTCTTAACCAAGCGAAGAAACACACCCAAACCAAAACAGACCCATCCTTCAGTAGCTCCTAGCTGGACCCCCCTACCCTGCAAAAGTGAAGAAATGGGAATATAAGAAGACCCTGATTTGATCACCATAATCACTTATTCTTATTATTGGGTGGAGGGTCCTAAAGCATCTCCGAAGTTGAAATGTAGGCCAATGAACACAACAATGAAATTACCAGACTGAACACACTGTTAACACAGTGTGCCCTGGCGCAGACAATCCTTCCTAGCTGGGCCACAGTCTTACTAGATCAGTCAACAACTCCTGAACAGGTACACTTTACTATACAAACATGTGAACCTGGATCAACTGGAGATGCAAGCTGCACACATTCGGAATATTTTGCAAAGTGTCTGTGCCTTGGCGCATCAGCTTTCCAAACTTCGCGGAGCGGTTTAGCATCTATGCCGGTGCCACCGACCAGCACCACACAACCTTGCAGAGGCAAACCCAAAAGACCCTAGTTGCGTGGCAAGCTTCAGGACTACCTGAGAAATTTCTGTTTAACAGTTCTTGGGGTGGATATGCAACTAGGAGGTTCCAGGCAGTCTAAGGGATCCTCCCAGGATCGAACTGGACTGGTTGACGTACGCAAGGGCCTCTAGTTCCTTCCGCGCCGCCAATAACCACAGGCAGAGATCCACGACGAGGCTGCCATGAGGGCTCCGGCAAACATTCCCAAGTACGAGAGTCCACGTCGAAACGCCACACGTCGTTCAGGCACACGCCTGCACAGCTGCCGATGTGAACTTGCGCTAACTAATTCCATCCCATAGACCGCCTCCAATGATGTGACCCTCAATGCCGCCCATCACAAGCACCTTCCACCATCTGTTAACGCATGAATATTCACCAAGGCTTTTACATGCTGCGGCACCCGTGGAATTAAGCTTGTCACCGCTGAGCAGTCGGACGCTGTAGCGACCGTAGCCCCGAATCTGGCCAATGGCCGCTTCTCTTTCGCACGTGAAATCATGACCAAACGCTGGCCGGACCTGGCATGGAAATTTCAGATCAGTGTCAACCTATCTTTCGTGACCCGGGCTTAGATTGGGTCCCCCAGTGTCGCCATAAAATAAAACAATGTCTCTGCATGTCGACTGTAATCCTTTCCGCCCCGAACGATCAGAAAAAGATATGGCTAAAAATCCAGAAGAACACGTTTAAAAGGGCGGGCCCTCAATGAATGAGCCCGGGTTCTAGAATTATCAATTAAAAATTCAATGAACTGGTTCATGACTGGTTAATGAAAGAATCTCTGCTGATTTTATATTCCAACATTAATGATTGCGAACTTACTGTTTTAACTGATTTAGCTAAGCAATTATTGCTTTTCCATGGCTTATAAAAAAAAGCATTTAAGCAGTTCTCTCTAATTAGTTCAATAAACATCCCGCCTAACATGAAATATGTTTTCAGACCCCGTATTATTACTATTATTATTATTATTTTCATTGTCATTATTTGATATTGGGGGGGGGGGGGGGCGTCACTTATGTTAGGGGAAAGCGGTTCCAGAAATCTGAACTCTGCCATGCTCTGAACAAGTATTGCCGCATCATCTTCATCACCCTCAATCATTCTCAAGAGCGGGCAGACAACTCGAGGGGAAGTGTCAAACGAAATGTCCACATGACAATTTCCCAACACGCCTGAAAAACAACCACGTCTGTATGGGCGTGGCTGGCACCATTAGCGTATGACCTATGTGAACATCAGCTCGCAAGAACTCCAGTCCGTTTTGATTGTGATAGGCGAACTGCCCATGAAGCCAAAACTTGCGACATAATACAAGGCGCCCACACTGTTCACCCCACGAGGCAATACAATTTCAACATGATGCATGCGAGCTTCAAACGCTTCAACAACATGGGAAGGCACCATGGTTCTGAAACGCGTTCACTTCTGCCATGTCGGCAAGTTGACATTTTGTCACCCTTACCACACGGGTGTGCACTACACTTCCTGGTATGTTCTGCTGGCAATTGATTCTCTCCGGCATTGCTGATGTTGCTTTTGATTCGTCGGTCACCATGCCAAACTGAATGCAAACCACAACCCGCTCGCTTTGCGCTTGTTTGTCCGCATTTCTTGCAAACATCACATACGGATGTCTGTGAAAAGTTCATTGCCAGGTGAACAAGAAGTACAATGGTCAACAATCCATACAGGCTGTTATCTTTCGCAAGCCTTTGGACAAGTATACACCATGCATGTTCCAAGTCCCACGCCATAGTTCGACGTTCTCCCCAGCAAGCCGCATGGCAGCGATGCAAATTCGTCAATAACTGAATTGGTTGGCAGACTTCGGCTTCATACGGCGGCATATAGACAACATTACGTTGTGATCATCACCTGAACGCTGCCCAGCCATCTTGCTAGTGTACATAACACGCAAACGGGGGATCTGGTTTCACGGCGAGCTGCTGCTAGCGGAGTGCTGAAGGTATCACAGCTTGCTCTACAACGTCAAGTTCCGCGCTGCAAGCCCAGCTATGCAAATTGCTTTTGCGAACTCTAGCTGCAATCCAAGCACTAAAGCCTGGAATCGTTTCCAATTGTGAGAATTGTCACTAGCAAATGCAACCTTCGGTGTCATCATTTTTTTCGGACTGTTTGCTTGAGCGAATGGTCCTATGGTCCCCCAAACCCCATCCTACGGTATTTCCCCGCTCTTGGTGGTGCGCTTGTTGGTGTGGGTTCGAAAAATGTCAAGAACATTCCCCCCCCTTGTGTAGTGGCCATCTGCTAAGCTCTAAGGCAAGATATAACTGTTACCCTCCAACCCCCCGCCTGTGGTCCTGTGGCCCTGTGGCCACATCGGGTGGGACTTCGGCGCTGGCCATGGGGTGAGGAATCAAAAAAAAACGAATGAGGATTAAAAAAAAAAACAACGGTATACAACAAATAAGGATCCACATCAAAACAAAATCCTGGAAAATGGCGAAAGC